GAAATGTTCTGTATATTACGATCTTCCCGAGTACGATCGCCGATATTTACAAAATGAAGTACACGCTAGTCTTCGAGTGCAACGAAATGGAGGCACCCTTAGTTTCCAGAGTTGGATTTGCATCCCTGGGGCTCTATTTTTCATCTTAATATTTTAAATTATAGATTATAAATTTTTACAGCAGGGATTTTAAATGCGTTACTGTTCAATTTTTTTTTGTATTTTAAATTCGCGAATTACTAAAGCACAAACTCGTAAAAATTGTGTACCACGATTTGTCTATTAAATTACTCTTTATGGTTTCGGTCCAAATACACCAAAAATATTTCACTATATTGTTAAACTATTTATAAACTTATTTCACTATTATGTTTGTTTTGTTAAGTAAGTTACTTGATGAATTAACGTTTTTTCAAACACCATCAAATTCCGAAAATTTGAACTAATTTCGAAAAATAGGACGCCCTCTCCTAGGCGAAATTCGACACGATTTTTCCAGTGGCTTTCCTACTGCAAGTTTGTTGTATTTATTAATAATACTTCAATCTTTTCTTTCATTTCTGGTATAATAATCACTATAATGTAATAAACCTAACCAGAACAACGAACTACCAACACAAGTGTCGTCAGATTGAGCGCCCAGGTTTACGATGACGAACGAGAATGTTGGGATCAACAACTTATTGACATTGTGAATGCTACATATGATTGCGAAATGCATGTAAACAACACTTCACTATTCGGCAATCTAACAACTAGAAAGAACACAAGAGAAAGGTCCATAAAACATACATACAGGTGTTTGAATGAGAGTTAAAATAATATTTTGTAAAGCGGAAGAATGCCAGTGATTAAAATAATTTTCATTTTTATCGAAAGTAAATTCAGCTAGGCTCTAGCGTGGTAGACCACGCTGCTGCACTGTCGGTTCGTGCTAGGCCTGGTTGCCGTCTGCCTATCGGCGCTCAATGGCAGGGGATAGCTAGGCCTAAGTATTGGAAACTGACACCCGATCTAGTTTACAAATTTTTCAATTTATGAACACCCCTTGGTACCGAGGGGTACGTAAGATGGACGTTTCACATCATTTGGTTTTGAATGCGCAGTAACCCATTTTGGTGATTTTGAATCTTACCCGAGAACACAATCTTGCATTGATTCTTGTGTCGTGATGATAGATAAAATGAATTATGAATGGTATATCAACAATAGACACTGCCTTTCTGCATTTTTGCAGTACTTTTACAATATTACCCAATCAATATGGAATAGGCCCTAGGCCTAGATTGGTGTAACAATGTCAATAGCCACTGATTTTTTGTTTTGTTTTTTGTATGGTTATAAGTTAGATAGCAAATAACTTACACTTCATACGCTTCTTCAAATTCGTCATCATCTTCATCACCACTGCTTGGATGGATACTATAATATGAACCAGCCTTTCTAACTTTAGGCCGCAAGGAACCCGAGTCGGTGGACTCCGACAAAACACTTTTTAGCCTGTCCAGTTCATCTCGAATTTCTACAACCAAGTCAGAAAGCTTGCTTAACTCTCTCGATGTTCTGCTAAAGACGCGCTCAAAAATAATAGCTCCACTTGCACCTACGACTAGTCCAATGCCTAAAGAAGCTAATAATTCACGAATACGATTATCCATTTTCTTTCGTTTTTTCCCCAAAACCAGTTTAATACAATCTTAAAAAACACGAGGCTAACTCCAAATTAACTACAGACCCTGGATCGAATTTTAAATGTCAAAGGTCAACATGTCGGCAGTTTGTAATAATAAAAACATTTTAACTAGCGGTTCATTTTGGAATTGATTTTCAACGGCGACATGATAATGATGACTTTACGTTTCAGTCTTTATTAACTCCCAGGTTTTCAATAGACACAAAAAATACTGGATTCGACGTTAAAATGTTCATATCTTCTTTTTTTTAATAAAAAGTAACATTTAAATCAATCCATATCAGTATGCCTTATGTATTAATAAGTACGCAGATAAGGCTGGTAAGGAATATACTAAAATAATTAATTTACCACTTGTATCGTGTTAAATCTTTTGCAAAATCTCAAGGCTATTGAAGCTAAGACTAGCCTAGGCCCTAGGTAGGTGGCTTTGGCCTAGCTAGGTTAACTCACTAGGCCCGGGCGTTAGACGGGCTTTAGTTAGGTAGCCTAGCCTTCTAGGCAAAGCTAGACAGCCGGTAGTCCTGCGGCCTAGCTGGTATAAGAACAGGCGTAGCCAATTTTCCCTTTTTCGCCAACCAATATTTGTCAAGTTTTCATAGTCCCTAACCAGATTTTTCTCTGGATCCGCCCTACCTACCTAGGCCTAGCCTAAACTAGACACAAAAATACTGGATTCGACGTTAAAATGTTCATATCTTCTTTTTTTTAATAAAAAGTAACATTTAAATCAATCCATATCAGTATGCCTTATGTATTAATAAGTACGCAGATAAGGCTGGTAAGGAATATACTAAAATAATTAATTTACCACTTGTATCGTGTTAAATCTTTTGCAAAATCTCAAGGCTATTGAAGCTAAGACTAGCCTAGGCCCTAGGTAGGCGGCTTTGGCCTAGCTAGGTTAACTCACTAGGCCCGGGCGTTAGACGGGCTTTAGTTAGGTAGCCTAGCCTTCTAGGCAAAGCTAGACAGCCGGTAGTCCTGCGGCCTAGCTGGTATAAGAACAGGCGTAGCCAATTTTCCCCTTTTTCGCCAACCAATATTTGTCAAGTTTTCATAGTCCCTAACCAGATTTTTCTCTGGATCCGCCCTACCTACCTAGCCTAAACTAGGCTTAGGGCCTAGCCTAGTTCCTCCATGATCCGCCCCTCTTGATGTCCCGTTTCACCATGCCAATCATATATAAAAAAAGTAACTTTCATTTATTGACACACAGTGGACCATGCTGATAGCCACTGAAATGTGAATCCCATTTGTTGAAATTTTTTCAGTGTCTGATTTTTATTGACTTTGAATTGGATTTTGATGAAATTTTAAGCCATTTTTAAAAATTTTATTCATAGGAATGTGGGCCAACGATCTGTGGTGATGAATCTTCAGACCCTGAGCTAATGGCTGAGCTAGGAGCCGTCCTTACCAAACAAGTTGGAAATAACTTGTAAGAGACAATGCCTTTTTTTTAAATAATTTAATTTATGTTTATATTATTCCTTTAGGCACATGACCAAGGATTACCAATATAGCAACTTAAATCACTGTCCTTTAGATAGGTGGCAATCCCTTCACATGACAAACATACAAACACATGCTTTACATAAAGACTCATTATGTGGCTTATGGAGTGGAGCTGTTCTGTTGTAAGAACAATTCCTGGAGTCCGACAGGATTTGAACCCAGGACCTTGGGATCGGAAGGTGAGCATCCACCAAGCTATCCAAATCTACACTTTTTATTTTCATTTATTCCAGTCTTTTAAAAGAAAGAAAAGAATTAATCTGTTTTTCCCCCCAATTATTTCAACAAGTTGCGAGGGTGGTCTCTATCCAACTGGAGCTGATCATTGGGGACCCTCAATACAACAAGTAGCAATGGAAATAATAATTTTAATAATTCTCAAAATATACAAATCACGAAAAAGGAATACAAGTGTAAAATAACAATAAAATAAATATATAAATAAATATAAAAATAAAACAATATATAAATTTTCATAAATGAATATTGAATATAAGTTCAACTTCAATTCAATAATTATTAGATAATAAATGATAAGTGGGATAGCACCTGTTGCATGTATGCACGTGACTAGCTTTTAATGGGAGTGTAGCAATGTTTTATAAAACGAGAAAAAATATTTTGATAAATTTATTTAACAAAGAACACTTTTGTTAGTTGAAGCAATGACTATTTAAGAATTAAGAGCTTGTATTTCAATCTTGTAATCACGTTTGTCATTGTATTCCAAGTGTTTTTATTGACGAAATAAATGGTATATATGTTAAACAATGTATCCATGACAATGTGACGCAACATATTTTTTCTAGAGGAAGTCCAACGTAGGATCATGGAATTTGGTTTCACTCAAGTTGTAAAGAATATCATTTAAAAATCAAACATATGCCATTTAAACTGATACCTGTAAAAACAGTATTTTTTAAATTGTCGACTCATTTGGATTTGAGTTTATTGATGAAAAATGATGATGATGATATACATCTGAAAAAGGTTGAGGATCTCAGAAATAAGGGACAGCAACCATGAACGGGTGGGCTGCGTTCTGAAGACGTACAGTAACTCCAATGTTGATCGAAATGAAGACAATTTGATGGTATGTTTCCTATTCCCACAGCCATGAGTTTCGCTCACCTGAAACGCCACGTGAGGTTCTTAACCGGTTGGAAAAGTTCGGCTACCAAGTTGTGGGAATGACAGGAATTGGGCAAACTTGTATCTGGACCCTGCACTGCCCTCATATGCCGAACGGCAATGTCAACCAAAACTAGGAAACATTTAAAGTTCTGTGCACTCTGTTTAATTTTATGCCACAAATATCTGCGAGTTGACCATATACTGTATGTACGATGGAATACTCTGACCATATATGTATATATATATATATATATATATATATATATATCACATCTTAATGACAATATAATATGTGTGATATGACATCATGCCCATATTATTTGAATATCACATCATCATGCTCATGTGTGTGTAATGACATCATGACCATATATGTGTGTAATATGACATCATGTCCATATATGGAAAATTCACATAAATTTGTCACATAAAACTTAACAGTGTGGATAAGGCTTGAGGGATTGTTGTATTGATTTGATTGTATTGTATTTAAAATCCATGTGGTGTCGTCTTTGGTAATGTGACCAGTTTGGTCTTTTAAACAGTATGTGTTTTTATATATATGGTTTTCAATATAAAAATCATCAATAAAATTCACTCAATCATTTATTATCCAACATTAAAGACAGAATTCCAAATTGTAAATCTTAATTGTGAACTTGAAATTTGTTTAAATTTTAGAATTCAAAGATAAATACATTTACTGCAAATTTTAGTGTAATTTTCACAGTATTTACATTGTAAATTGAACATTTGACAAGTACATAAAAGTTAAATCTAATTTAGATATTATGCACAGTTTGTCAGATAGGTGCAGAGACGAACCTGTGCAAGGGAAGTATTGTAGTTTTGAAACTATACAAGAAATGTTGTGCATATTCAACGCACAAAGTCCAGCCTATAACTGTACTACTGCAAAATTCAATGTTACATAGCATCTTAAATCACCTGTTTTCACATTAAAAAAAACAAACAACTGAAATAACTGCAGCCTTATACAAATCATAACTATTGTTGAAAAATTACCTTGAGAAAACTTATTAAACATGTTTGCATTAATTTGCAAAAATACGACAAACAGCGCACAACATGTTTGATAGTATCGACTGTTGGCTTACTGATTTCATTCTTGTTGAACCAAGTGATAAACGCTTATCCAGGCATTTCAGATTTCATGTGTATTTGTATCATTTCAAGGGTTATTTTATACCTAGTGTAATTGTCACAATATGTTTAAATGTATTTGTTATTAAGAATTATGTTGAAAAATTAATATGCATTCTAATAATAAAGAATGACCACATATTGCAGGAAAATGACTTTAAGTTTAAAAAAAAAAGGTAAAGGAATTAAAAAAAATATTTAAATTTTTCTTCTGGTCGCAGGAAGCTATCCTCACCGTTTTCAGTTCCCAATTTGTTGAATTCATACGAAAACTGATAGTAAACAATTTAAGAAAATATTTTTGGTATTTAAAGGTTCTTTGTATTACAGGTCTCCTTTCCAAAAGACCACTTTTGGGACCGGAGTTTCATGGTTTCTAAATATTATATTAATCTCTTAAAGATACATTATTAATTTGGGATCACAGAAAAGTGGTCTTAATTGGAGGGGTCTTTAATATATAGGAAGATCTGTATTTACTTTTAATATAGTAAGGAAAAGTGGCTGAACATTTTTTGAAACATCAATGACATACACTTTAGAGAAAATTTACTGATAAATATATAGCACAATAGGTGTATATAATTTACAGCTATATAATATTATTGTAATACAGTAGTTAAAAAAAGTAGAAGGTAGAATATTTTTCCATAGTCATCATAATTTGATTCCATTGTTATTCCATTGGAAATAAATATTGCAATTGAAAATAAATTCCAAACATTGCTTTTATAGAGTACAGTATTGTATGATTATTCAATTAATTATTCAAGAACATACTATTTTATTTTACATGTGCTACTTTGTTTTTATGAACTACTCCCCACCCCCTCCCCAATTTAATCACCAACTTCTGTTACAATCTATAAATTATCTTTACCTATTTATCTAACTTTTTAATACACTTTACTTTAAATTAGCACATGAGGATTTTGTATTATTACTATTATTGCATTGATTACAATGATAAAAGATGGCCTATCCAGATTTCTCTCTGAATCCGGCCCTGTATGCACAATAGTGTCCAAACCTGCTTGTAAGCTGTAGAAGTATTCCAGAAATCAGGGACCTGCCTGTCAATCATTATAAAAATAAAGTAGTGCGTCACTAAACGCATATAGTTATCCTAAGATAATCATAAATTAATAATGGTTAATGATACACATGAACATAGAGCCATCTGGAGCATCTGGAAGCTTAAGAAAGGCCAATTGCTAGGCCATGATTGAAACTACTGTAATAAAATAATAATGGTAAGTTGTCCAATTAGCAAATGGGTATGTGGTATATGTTTAATATTGATTTATTTTAAAGTGGTTAAACCTGGTGTAATGTTCTAAAGGTGGCATGCATGTATTCTATATTTGGTCCTGGTGGTAGAATATTAAGTTCTTGCAGTACAGTATTCATGATGGTGTAAAAGTACTACTTTATAAATTGCTTTGTCATCCTTGTTATGATGTCTTAAAATCCTGTTGTAATGTAGTTTATAGTGTTTATTGTATAATGATTTACCTTGGTGTCCTGTTCCCATGGTGATTTTATGTTCTCATAATTTTTTCATATTAATTTTTCATATTAATTTTTAATTCTTTTTATGATATGTACAGTTTCATATGTATTTTATTTGTAAAGTGTTAAAATATATTAATTTAATTTTATATTTATATTTTTTCTCCTGATTATTGTTTGTAAATATAACTGTGGTTTGCCAATTTCTCCCAACATCATATTGATAGCGCGCTATATCTAATCCAGGTGGTGGCATAAGGGGCACTAACCTCGCAGCTGAAAAAATATATACAGTAACCAACCCAAGAAACTCAATTGGAGCTTCCTGCCACCCAGGCAAGATCATTCTGGATCCACCCGAATCTGTTTTGCAGCCTCACATGCAAAGTAATGCTGCCAAAATTAGAAGACTGTATCAACAGAATTTTCAAAATGACACCCAATACTTCCAAAACTGATCTCATTTAATGTCCATGATTTGAGGGTTTATTTTTTCTAGGGCTTTCTAAACGTACAGAATCTTTTTTTTTCCTTTTCAGCAAAGAATATCGATCAGAAGAAACAGCCAGAGTCATCCTGAATCGACTGGAAAAGTTAGACTATCGAGTCATAACATCTTGTGGAATGGGTCAGACAATTATATGGACACTTCACAAACAACTATGATGTAGCTTTTTGGTCCAAACAACTATGATGTAGATTTTGGTTGAAGAACCATAATTCCTGTGGATATGTAGAAGAACTTAATATATAAGTACAATACTACCGAGCATTATGTGTGGTATTAGGATATGTTGATGGAAACAGCACAATATGAATTGATTCAGAACATTCTCAGCTGTTGTTTTTCAATTCCATTTCCCACCAAAGATCATACGCTACGGTAATGTGTTCAAATTTGGAAGATGCCAAGATTGTTGTCTTAAAAAATCTCATAAATGCATTTAATGTCAAACTTTGCAGAGTTAAATCCCTGGTTGATGAGGATATAGTTATTTTAAAGATTAAACATTTATAAAAATCAGTATTAAACTTAAAGCAGGTTTAATTATGGGAAGTGCCAGTAAATTTCAAACAATGCATACAAATATACACTAAAAAAATTAAGAATTTATCGGTCATGGTACGTACTAATTTAATTTGTTTTTATTATATTATATTGTTCATATTTTTTAATGGTCAGGTTCTCCAAGGAAGCGATTGACTTTAAGGATATTACAAAATATATTAATGTAGATATACATACAGTATAACATGCTAGAAGGGTTTATGGGATTAAAAAACATTTTTTAATGATATAACTTATCTCATTTCTTTCTATGTATTGAGAGCTGTAAAGATAGATGTGGAGCATAAACAAAGGGTAGAGGTAAAAATGGGGGGGGGGGTTTCTAACACAGTGCAGCAGGGAGTCCACCTAGAACCTTGGACATGGTTTTGGAATAAAATCCCTTGTGGAGTTTATGGGGAGAGATTTTATGGTCTAAGACTGAAAAAACAAATCTTGCAGATGAGGGGAAATTTATCCCCCATCTGACCCGGGGAAGAAGTTAAAATAATGAAAGAAGGGAGTTTACTGTAATTTGCGAGATTAATTTAGGCTCACACTAAACTAAAGATATACTGTCTATGGTTATAGTTTTAAAAATCTTCAAGATGCATTGAAACCTTTACTGTAATTTTTAATAAGGTCAAAAAAGCTATGAACTTCCAAGGACAGATTATTTTTCAAGTTTTTTAGATCAACACAGATCTTTAACAAGTATATTTTCTAGTGGTTATATGTGGCAAAGACAATCTAAACCAGTCACTCATCACAATAATCGATTTTTAGTTACTGATCGAGTTAAAGATGAAAATTAGAGCTATAAAATTATAAAAATAAATCACTTAATTCTGACATTTCCCTATGAAGTTACAAGCGTTTAAACATACACCTGTTTAAAGAACAATATTTGAGAAATCAGCCTTCAAAGTTTATCATTTTTGGCATTTCTCAGGCAGAAACCATCACCAAATTGTAAAAGGTTGTTATTTTAACATTGGAAATGGAGAAAATAACAGCATATCATGATGTGTAGATATATAAAGGTTAGTTTAGTGCAATAAAATAGATTTCAAAAATTTGGACATTTCAACATGTTTTGGTCATTATCTCTGAAACATGATTTGCAACAAGTGAGTGACTTGGCTTGTCTTTGCCACATATAAGACAAAGACAGCCATAAAAATAAACCACATTTTATATTTTTGTACAAATATTTATTCAAAGAAATGTATACCTATAATTTACAGTGGCAAGTCTGTTGGGTCATGTTTGCTCCCTTTCATTTTTTTCCATGTCTTCTATAAGTTTTCTCCGTTCCTCCGCTTGCCGGTAACTTCTTGCCGCTAAGTTTTCAAAATCTTTCTCACTACTTAAATTTTTCGTCTGATTCTGAAAAATGAAGTCCTGAGGTTTGCTTGTACAAAATTCATTTGTAGAAAAACTAGGTGTTTGCTGCTCTCGCATTCTTTTCAAAGTTTCCGCTTCAAAATCTTTCTGATCTTCTGCTTCTCTCTTTCTTTGCTGAGCTTCTCGTAATTTTGTGAGAACTTCAAGCTCGGAGTCTATCGTCTAATGAAAAAGAAATAAAGTAATTGAATTAATATCATTCAAAATTAATTTAGGTGTTCTCTTATAGGATAAGGATTCTGTAGGCCCAATATACACAACTAGCTTTTGATCACTGAAGAAACCAGAAGTCTCTAAGAGAAGAGTAGGGGTCACCACCCGTGTTTTGGCCCAACCTAGCCCCTGTTCCTGCCACCAGTTGCATTTCCCAAGACAGGGTCCATACCTAGCTGAAATCCACCATATTTGGAACCAATTTTAAGAACAGGCTTTCAAGAACTTCTCGATAGGCACAAAATAGGACTTGCAGACAGAAAAAATGAGTGTTCCCTGAAGAAATTAGTTTCTTCCCCAACAAGGGCTAGGATTCTGTAATGGGGAATCCTGTTCCCGCTAGAGCCTCCGCTCCCCCACTGGCACTGCCAATGTTTACCACCAGAAGGCCTACACTGTAAATACTGTTTATAGGTTATACATGCTGTGTCATACACCAAGGAATCCAACCAACCAACACTGGCCAGTGTTTTACAGAAACATAAATATACAGTACATACTGTTGGTTGTGGCTTGAAAGATGGCTTGCCACCGAGCCAGGTGATCTGAAGAGGGTTGGAAGCCAATCCATGCTCTAGCTCAACAGCATTCATCTGAAAAAAAAACTGAATTTCAGTGGTGGATTCAATGGGGAGGGGGACAGCTAGCCCAGGCCCCTCTCTCTAAATATGTCAACATTATACAGAAGTCGAGAAAAAAAAAGAACATTATATTTAAATATAAATCTGAGAGTGCCATTTCCAGCCAATTACCATTGGTTGGGGCTGAGGTTGTCTAGACTTTCCATCTGTGAAAGTCCATCCCTGGGATCCCTCTATTTTGAATTCCTGGATCCGCCATGGCATGTACCTCATAGTAACCTGATAATTTGCAGAAAGAAGGTCGGCTGATATTCAGTGGCCCATGTGATGCTTTATAAACCAAGTCTAATTATGAGGCCCTAGAATGAACCTATTTATTGTTTCATAGTATTAATTAACAAAATTTACAACATTCATTTTAAAAAGCCCCTCTTTACTAAGTTGCAAAATTAGCCTTAAAAAGAAGCCCATCTCGAAGAGAATGCCATCCAGAGTTTGCAAAAAAAAAGAAGAAAAGAAGCACAGGGCTTCAATTCGAGGTTTTACGGTATAAAGTTTAGTTCAGTGCAATAAAACAGATTTTTAAAATTTTGACATTTCAACATGTTTTGGCCATTATCTCAGAAACACGATTTGCGGGGAGTGACATGTTTGGCTTGTCTTCACCACATATGTAGTACACAAAATTAATGTCATGTGTCCAAATTTCTACTACACTTGGAAATAGTACCAGTGTTTGTAACTTTTAGACTATTCTTTTAACTGTTCATCCTGTATCTTTAAAACTATTCAATTGAATTCATTTATCTCCAATACAAAAGAAAAAACAGATCAATGTGACTGATTAAACTTTAAACCTCTTTGAAATAATTTAAGGATTATGTGTATAGCAGGTCTGTTCACCAACAATTCAATTTGGAGAAAATTCATCACATGTTTACATAAAATCAAAACATGCAGCTTTCTGCTGGAGAGCAGTCAGTTATGAAAACTAGAAATTGAGCTTCTTAAATACTGTATATAAAAAACAAAACAAAAAAAACCCCCCTGAAATGCTGTTATTTACAAACATAGCTCTGGCACTACAATCCCTTGGCAACTTTAACAACATTTTGAGAGTGTTATTAAACTATATAAAGCAGACTTGTGGAGATCTTAGTGTCGTTTTCTTATGATTACCCTAGAGGGCAGAACAATTACATAAATATTTGAATATATTTAATAGCATCACTTACTGCATTATTTGGCAGCCTGTACTCCACAATAGCACTACCTTTCTTTTTAGAAGACACCAACAATGTAGTAATGTCACCATACTGCAGAAAAAATAGGGAAAAAAAACCCCAAAAAAGTAAAGAATAGCAATTAATTTCAATTCCAAGAAATGGATACAGTAACACAAATCGATCAAGATTTTAATTATAATATTTATAGGGTTAGTGTGATTAATTATATATGTTAGAAGTAATTTAATGTTTTTATTGATTATTATGGCCATTATTGGCTGGTAGGTCTGAACAAAGAGTATGGAATTGCAAAAGGTCTGACTGCCTTGGTTTTACATGCAAGCAATGCGAGATAAGTGGTGCCCTATTAAAATGTAAATAGAGTTCAAAACTCTAACATGCGTTCTATGGATGCAGAACGCGTTTGATACAAATAACTTTTACCTTCTTTTGAAGGACGGCCTCTAATTCGTGGTCCAGTAGTACTTTTTGAGATAGGATTGCGTTTTAACGAAACACAGAGTCGGACTCTCTGGGTTTCGTTATACTCGTTGGTCTGAAGATAACTGAACAGAACCTGAGAGAACAGCAGTGTGACAAAAAATAACGAATACCCACCTTGTTAAATAGTTGTTTTAGTAGCTCGTAATTATATCCTCCATTACTTTCATCACCCTTTTTTGCCTTCCATCTAATTTTTAACTTGGGTGTTTCTTCTGGAAGATAATAAATAAAAAACAAAATAAGATGAATTGTTTTCCATTAAATAGAAAATTATATTCACAGTTTGTATGGTAGTAATGAAAAATATGATTACATTATGTTGGCATAAAAAAAGAATATAAGACAAATGTTATATTATATTTAAGTAAATGAACATTAATTTGATCCTAGAGTTAATTATTCAATTAACACTGTAAACCAACCTTGCCCCTCATTTGCATCTTCTTCAAGTTGTTTTTTAATTGCATCTTGTTCATTTTTTAATTGTTCTGATCCTTCTTCTCTTAAACGTTCAATCTTCAGTAATATAACAAGTAAAATAGTATGTTTCAGCAATTATACCCGTACTGACATACTTAATTGGTTAGTCAATAAATGTACCAAAAAAATGTCTTGTCATTTACAATAATACAGTATAAATAAAAATCAGTTGATACATAAAGCTTCTATGGGTAAGCCTAAACAACCTATTGCCAAGGTATGAATGTGCTAAGTGTACTGAACAGCCTCATAACAATACAGTTTAAATATCAAAATTGTACCATATATGGTTGTGCAGGACTAAAGTTGATATTGTCATAAAAAAATTCCAGGTATTAAGACTAACATAATTTGAATGTAGGATCCTGAGATTGGAACATGAGTGTATTCACAAATCTAAGGTCACACTCTAACAAAAGACAGTGGCGGCTCTAGGATATATTTTCAGGGGGGGCGCTAAGCTGTCCGACAGGGAGGACTTGAGCTCGTAGGCTCGAGCTGGAGGAAGGGGTTGAGAGGAGGTTCCCCCTCCCAAATGAGATTTAAAAAAAAAAATATCAACCTCTGGATGGCCGAAAATGGCACTCTCAGACTGTGACAGGCATGTGTTGGCTTGGTGTGGGCCTATTTTTATGTTTTCTGGTCTGATTGCCCGACGAGCTCTTTCCGGTGGGGGGGGGGGGTTTGACCTGTCCGGTGGTGCTGCCCCACCACTGAAAAAAGTGAGTATGCATACCTCTTGCTGTAGCTGGACGGCAGCATCAACAGGACTCTCACTGTAATCTTCATAGGCTGCAGCTGCCTCCCTTGCTTCTAGGTCTATAACATGGATATGGCAAGAGTGATAAAATAAATACATAGACTTGTTTAGAAGGTTGGATCTCATCTCCTAATATGCTATGGTTTTAGTTTGAATTTTATTTGCTACTACTTAAGCTATTGAGGGTATACCAATTAAACATTATGGTACTGAGCAGTCGAATCTGACAGATCGCCTTCCTCTCTGAAATTTTGACATCCATAACACTACCTGTTGTCAATTGTCTATCACCGTAGGGCTTTCAGAGAGAAAAAAATTCACATCAGAAAAGAGCAACAGGGTTGTGCAAGTAGACTTATTGCACCTCTCTTTTCCTACGGACATCGGTTCCTACAGGTATGTTACCGCAATGTGTAGAAAATGGACACAGGCACAGCAACTGGCCACGTTTCACTCGTATGTCGCCCTTCTAGATGGTAGCAACAACTGCCGTGGTCGTCCGCCTTCAACCAACTGGGACCTTCCGTTGACTACATATCCCATCCCTTAACTATCCACGGGCCTATGGCACCAACCAACTAGCCAGTTGCTGAGGGAATACTAATGGTAACTGGGCACATTTCATAGATTAGCTGGGAGTTGCTAACCCCACGCACGACCTGTTCAACTCTGCTCTAATGCAGTTTAATGTCATACCCAGGACTCAACAGATACATAAAATTTTAAAACAGAAACAGAACAACCTTAAAAAAATACAGTGCAAGGACTAGCCAACAATTGATTTTATGGGGCCCTGCATTTAAATATTGAGTTCCCTTGTGGAACAAAATGTTTAAAAATCTTTGAAAATTAGGAAAGGAAGAGGTGGTGGTGACAAAGTATTATATTTCTGAATCATGGAATTGTACACACAGCTATGAGTACTAGATATTTTTTTTTACAGAATCTTACAATAACTTTGACTGAATTGGCAAACTTACCTTCTTTTATCTTTCTTCTTTTATTATCTAAAGCTCTGTTCCGCAACTCAACAGCCTTCTTAGCTTTCAATAACTTATCATATGCAGCCTTTGGATGTTAAAAATAGAAAAGTTAATTACATTTCCTATTGCTTGCAGTGGCGTCAAGGAGTATTAACATGAAGGGGGAGGGTAATGGTGGGGTGAAGGCTAAGTGGGAGAATCGATTATTAATTTAAGGTTCTGCTTTTTTAGTATTTATTTACCTTTTGAATTAGCATTATTGTAACTTTTACAAGAGAGGAGGTCCTTCACATATTACTATCGCAACAATATAAGGTGATTTTCACCTACTTGAGTGAATACCTGACCGCAAGCCCACCTGTACTGTAGATTTGACACTGACTGCCAGTCTGTTGAAGTAGTTAATTAGCCTAATAATGTTAAGTAGGCTAAATGTGGGATCAAAGTGAGAAGGAATTATTTGGCAAAATAAGGGGATATTATTGAGATGATTTTTAACTACAGAACATACAGACACTACTTTACCCTGGCTGTTGCATCCGTCAAGACTTCCAAAGCTTTAGCAAGTCTTTCCCATTCCGCAGCTTCAAAGAATAAAAAATATATCTTTTATAATCCTACAAACAACAAAGAATAAATCTTTAATATCAATATTAAATTTCCTGTCTTTATATAGGATAATCCACTGATAAATTCATATAAGAAATTATACGGTAATTACTACTGTATATGCATTAAGTTTGTGAACGGAGTGAGGAAATATATGCTTGAGGCCATAGGGCCATGTACATAGAGCCCCTGTTCGGGGTCCAGGGATGAAGGCCCCTGCCGGGGCCAGGAGGGCTTTTCCCCCCCCCCCCCCCCTTGCGCTCAGACATTATGGCATTTATGGACTGTTAACTGCGTTGTCACACAGAATGGTCCATCACAGTTGAAATATTTCGGACAATTTCATGACACACCCAACATAGATTACATATGCCAACTTTCTTAACTGGTATAGGCCTACACAAGGCCTATATACTCTATGTAATTGTAAATAAACAGAGAATATTTTAGTTAGGAACAAAACATGTTTTAATAACATCCAGTACAATCCAAAGCAGATTGATCACAAAATCAGAAACAAATGTCAAACATCAGAACCCAGCTTTTATTGTTTAAAACTGTTTGGGGGGGGGGGGGTTGTCCCACTGAATGTAACTATGGTATTATAGATTAGGGTACATAGAAAAAATTATTAGACTATCAATCTTTTAAAAAAAAAAATTGATGAGTGGGAGGCTTTTTTTTTTTTTTTTTTTTTTGGAGCTGGAGGGAGCTGGACTATACTCAGGGGTTCCCATGTGCATGAACCGAATGAACATGACATTGTTTTTCGAAGTGGCAGAGACATTTAAAGAACTGCCCTGTGATTCAATGGCCTATCCAAATCTACAGTAGGCCTATATTCTGGTGAAAAACATTATACATTACTCGAGTATCAAAGGGAAAAAAACACCCTTGTAATTATATAGTATGCATAGGCGCCTAGGCTTTGGTCTTTACCTCGAGCTAGGCCAGCCTTTTTGCTTAAACTTACTTTCTTGATGTTGTAGATTAGTTTATGCCCAACACCAACCAAACACTCCATCACAAGGAAGACCGCCCACTTGTAATGCATTATGTAACAAGTTATTTTTAGCAGCGGGAGTCTCTGTGGAACATGTCAGTCTTCATGCTGTGAATCAATGATCAGAACAGCCCACTGGGCAGATCTCTTTAGGGACGGACCGCAGTGTTGCCTATTTTTAGCCCCAGCTGTGGAAAACGCAAGTCTACAAGCTGTGAATTAACTATCCGATAAGCCCACTGGGCGGGTCTCTTTAGGGATGTACCGCAGTGTTGTCTATTTTTAACCGCAGTTAGTGAGCTGTTTATTTTAAGCCACAGTTAAAAACAAATTTAAAGAATGGGCTTTGCATTTTCAACTATAAGGCGATCCCAATGTCTGATCTAATAAATTGGGTGAGTTTGAAGTCGGAGCCAATTCCTTTATATTTTGTGAACATTTGTTTTTTGCAAAGTTGTTGTTATGCAGTTACAAAAAAAAAAAAAAAAATAAGTAAATAAAAAATGAATAAATATAAAAAATAAAATTATTCCCGCATCAATATTTCCAAAATTTTTGACGCGGGTGGGAGTGATAATCTAATAAATTTTTCTATTTCCCCTTTATTATACCTTTTTAAAACTACAACAATGTCGGGGCCCCCTCCGGTCTGGGGGCCCTGGCACTCTGCCCCACCTCCCTGTCAGCGCCTGAGCATATGGCAATCGTTAATTCACAGACATAAAGTACAAGCCTCTAAAAATTTCTCATGCGCCTGATCTTTATTGCACCTGGGTTTTATGTCACATTCTTTTTATGGTTTGATACCCGTCATTAATATCGTCATAATTATTATTACTGTTGTAGTATCTCCCTGAATGTTGTACTTGAATGGAGGTGTAACTGTACCTGCTTTGGCATCATCTGGATTTTTGTCAGGATGGCACTTCAATGCCTTTTTTCGGTAAGCTTTCTTGATCTAAAATTAAAAAAAACAAACGTACTGTGAACTTTCAAAGAATGGGTCCGAGTGTCCATGTAGTGCGCAAACGGTGTCTGGGCACTTGTACTTACTACTACAGACAGTACTATATATATTAGGCCTAGGCCCCTAGGCTAGTTATTATACTCTCTATGATGCCTAGCCTAACAACAGCAATTTAATTAAAGATAAACATGTTACTGTTAACAGAAATATTAAGAAACATACCTCCGAATCATTAGCATTAGGCAGCACCTCTAAAATTAGATATAAATCAAGATCCGAAACGTTCAGCGGTTTAGACTTGGCCATTTTTCCCACGTTTGTAGAACTCTAGTACCGCCCTCTTCGTCGACTGGAACAATTAAAATTGTTTGTGAAGGAGTGATCGCGCATGGAGCTCGGGGAGAGAAGGAGAGGAATGACCGGGAGGAATGACTGAGTTTAAACCACCTCCAGCCTTTAAGTTGCTGTCAGAAACACTAACAAATCTGGCTTTCAGTATCAGAGACATTCTTGATGAATCACAAAAAAGTTTTAAAGGTTACAATACGATTATGTATTTCTTTTCTTTTACAGGTTGCAAGTGGGATGGCACGTCATTATCCTGACTGGAGTCATCATTCATGCATGGATGGATGACCTGGTCTGGTATAAAATAAGCATGGATCCTAGCACATGCTTGGTATAAGCATAGAGAAAACAGAACGTATTTTCTCTATAGTATAAGTACCTGAAAAGAGTACACAGTAGGGCATAGGACGGTGAGGCCAAATTATGCCATCCATTATGGTTTAATACCATCTTTTTTTCCCCGAGGAATGATCCCCAGTGGTGGTGGCAGCAGCACAAAGGTTTGCCCGACAGAGGGGGCATTAACCCGTCGGACAAATGGGTCTGATACTGATAGACAAGCCTAGTGTCTAGGAAAACATGTGGTCAGTGGCAGTAATGTTTAATACCGCCTTAGTTGCAGGAAGAGGGGGAAAATAACTGCACCTGACGAGCCATTTCCTGACAAATTGGGTGGTTTCTTCCCCAACTACAGGAATCCAGTGTTTCCTGATGGGATAGAGGCACTTGTTGTTCGGAACTTCTGTTGGCACCATCACTGATGAACAAGTCTTTTAATTTTTTTTTTATTCTGGTGTTGAATTTTAGTTAAATTCTATACTTATTGAATATTTTCCTAACTCAGAATTGTATTTATTTCACTTTGTAGATTCAGTTGATGATTTCATGTCGGTGAATGTATCAAAACTTGGAAAAAGTATTGGAGTTATTTCTAATGCATTGATAAGGTGAATTTTTATCTTGCTTCTGCTCAAATATTACTGTACATTAAAATACAGTAGCTGTGCATATCCTCACTATAATAAATCCTATTTTCCCTTCTTTGAAAGCCAATACAACTTAAGTTTCATTGTGTATAACATAACTTTACTGATGAAAACGATTATTATTTTTATTACTTTATTATTATATTTAGTATTAATACTGTATTAGTATTGAAAATGTATTACTTAATCGTCATCTTTTATCATTGATTGCTATAATATTTATAAGAAATTCTGATACTGTATTTTTTCTTCAATCATCCTTGAGTTATTAAATTACTGTACTGATTGAGTTTTTTTACATAATTGTATAAATATTAGTTTGAAAGTAAGTAGTTGGGAGGCTCTTGAGGTGGTGTGCAAGAGGAATTTCTGCCATCTTGAAATTCAGAAAGCATTTGAAGACCTGCAAGAGGTACAGGTAGGTTGCTTAAATTAGAGATGAAAGTGAGTGCATGTAAAAATATTTATTTTTTACGTTTTTGTTCATTGCATGTATGTGTATTTTGGTTCAATGCAGTGCTTATGAAATTCTTTAGCGCAGTTTTTTTTTTTTATTAAAGAGCTGCATTTATTTTATAGCATTGCTTAGTCCTATCTGATTTGTCATTAATTGGCCAGTTAATAGTGTACAAAAGATGTGAAAGGAGTGGTGTTCATTCGAGAGGGGCCCTTCTTGAATTAATAAAAGTGTGTTATTTTACGAAGTAAAAAAGCAGAAAGGGAGACAGGGCTAAAAAGGCTGCAGACAAAGAACAACAGCATGGGAAGAGACTGAATTTAATTTTGTTATTAATTATTATTATTATTATTAATAAATATTATTGTATACATTTTAATTTCACAGAGTTATTATTATTAATAAAATTACATTTTTAATTCACACAGCAAGATTGGGACAGCTTCTTGGATGATGTAGACATCACACTTAAATGCAACTCACCTACTAGTCAGATTATGCAAGGGGACAAAATACCCCAAGATATGTCGCTAATCTGTACTAAAGACTTGAGGTAAGAAATTTATCTCTTGTCCCTAATTTTACTATTTTTTTATTATTTTACTATGCTTTCGAGACCTTGTTTGTTTCCCTGTAATGAAAATTACTTTTTAATTGAACTGAAAATCTATGGAATCCAACATTCATGCTGTGTTTATATTTGAATTTGTTTATACTGTAGTACAAAGAACCTTAGGGAATATGTGAAAGAGAACGGAAATTCATTGATACTTGTTCTGTTGCGGCACTTTGCGTGACTTCCGTGACGTGATCACGTCAGGCAACTTCAGGACAGACGAATGGAACTTGCAGAGCTTGGTGGAAACGTGATTGTGGTTTCATTTGGGTCTGCCGTTGGTGCCAGACAGTGGATCGCGTCTACAGAGTGTGAATTTCCATTATTTTTAGATGAGAATAGACAGGTTTGTAATACTGTACATTATAAAATCCTGGAAATTGGGTGTTTTTAATCCTTAATTTCATGACGTTTTATATATAATAAAACCATCACTGGTGTTATTAGGTTATTATTGAATATAAATAGACTATTATTAACTAATATTGCTTTATATTTCAACAGTTATATAAAACATTTGGCCTGGGCAGGTCAATTAGAAAAGTATGGAATATGGAGACAATGAAGTATTATGCGGAACAGAAAGCCTGTGGAAGAAGTTTACCAAAGAAGTTTGAAAATGTTGAAGATGATCCACACCAGGTATTTATACTAATGATATCATATTATCATCAAGTAATACTTAAAATAACAATATCAAGTTGTTTAGGGATAAAAATGAAGGATTATACGCTTACTCTAATATCACAACAGTAAATTTTACAAATACAAACCCTGATAATAGTCTGTACAGCAGGGGTGGCCATAAAAAAATGGGTTGGAGGGCTCAAGTGAATGCCGACTTGTGCTGTACAGGAACATATAACCAGGGGTCTCAAGTTGGAAGAACCCATTTCCTGGAGATTCATTTAATGACATTAGGGGGGCTATATATTGAGGAAAAACTTTAGGTACCAAACGAGGTGCTGTGATGATTGGGGCTGAGGTGATGACAATTTTTAGAATAGGCACTATTAGAAGCCCGGAAATGGCACTGTAAGACTGCAAAAAATAATTGGCAACCAAAGCCTAAATAAAACAAGAAGATTTGTTTTTTACTGAATTTGCAGGAGATAAGTGTGGGAGACCATAGCGATTTCCGGGAGGTTTGGGACCCCTGTATACCATGAATTTTGCCATGGATTCATGGACCCTAGAATTTGAGGTTGGACACCATAAACTTAAAACACTTTTTTTTTAAATAAAAAAAGGAATTATTTTTTTTCCAATTACCAGATGGGTGGAGATTTTGTTGTCGACTCTGAGGGTATTCTACGTTTAAAGTACTGCAGCAAGGTGCCTAATGACCGTCCATCAGTAGAGCACCTATTGACTGTTGTGAAGGTAACTAATTTGCATATTCATACGATTACGGTATATAATTATTTAGAAATATAAATGTAAAAAGCATGCTAAGTCGTTATGGCTTCCGTGTGAAGATTTTCATGTGAAGGCAAGACTTTTTTTAAAGATTGTCAGAAGAGGGTGGGGAAAAAAACAAAAATTTTGTTTTCTCATTTAGCAAATAGTTTTGTCTAAAACAAAGACAAAGGAGAAAATTAAAATAAAATTTTATTGGTGAATGTAAACATTGTAGTAATGGATGGTCAGGTTAAATGCTTAAATTAGGAAGAAAATTTGGAGATTTCAAAGCAGCGGCAGGAGTAATAAAAATAAAGAAAACATTTTTTTCTGAAATTTCCATTTTTTCATAGTGGCAGGTGCACTAAGTGGCAAAAAAAACCCCTAATTTTTATTTAAAATCATCAGGTAGCGGGTTCGCTAAACAAGGTATAAAAAAAGTCATGCTTAATTGATGTTATAAATTTTTGGAGTTTATGAAAATTTTGAATTTCCACAGAAATGTCAAGAAGAGAGATGTGATGGACCACCAGCATCCAAGAATCTGAAGACGACACAGCTTATCAAAGAAGACAACCTGGGTTAATGATAAAATGCAGCATCATGAAAGGTGTTTAAATTAGTAAAAACTGTATTTTACCATACTAGTACAGGTGAATTATAAATTATGTATAATCAGGAGACTTGCTTACAAAATGATGGATTACCCATAATGCATTGATGAAGGATGTAGTTGAAACCATAGCGGAGGTTACATCTGGAATATGAGCATTAATGTACACACATTGTTGCAAGCATAAATACATAAATTTAAGTTCTCATAATCTCAAAAGCTCCAATGAGGGCAGTATAATAGAGCCAGTAGAGCTAAAAAAGGTAATTAATTAGCTGAGTATTTCTAGAACTCCTTATGAGGGCAGTACTGTATAATGAAGGTAGTAGAGCTAAAAAAGTTCTATTAATCTGTCAACTAATCAACCTCATGAGGGCAGTATAATAGAGGCAGTAGATCTGAAAAGGATTTTATTATTAGCCGAGTGTTTCTAGAGCTCCTCATCAGAGCTAAAAAGAAAATATTGTCTTAAATCACATTCTACTTGATGAGTACATATTTATTAATTAACTGCAATTATAAACAATTACTGAATATATTTTTCATATATAGTAATAGAAAATAATCAATCAAAAAATTGATGATGAACTAAACTCTAAGGTACATCCAAGGATCTTTACCTTCAACCAATTTAAGTATGTGATAGTAGATTTCTCAAGCACTACAATAAAATTAAATTATTGGCTGTAATTGACTGGTATGTTTCATTGAGTATGAATCTTTCAACAGGTTTCTGAAGTAATGTTCAGAATACGTTTGTCATGTGAGCAAAACAAGGCAGATTTGCCAGCAAAAATTTTTTGTGTAATAATTTAATTGGCATCCCATAATCTTGGTTTCTCTGTTAATTCACTTGGTGGTGGTGGTGGTGCTGTCCAGAAGGGAAACAGAGAGACTTGTAGAAAGTCACAAGTATATTTGTATGGCAGTCAACACATTTAATGTGTACATACATCAGTCTATTTTCACATGAGTAAATAATAAAATAAAATAAGCTAAAATGGGGGGTGGGGAGGCAGGGAGTCCGTAGGGATCTGCCAATCCTCATCAAATATATCCGGCTTTTCCAGATGCCAGGGAGCACAGCCCCTCTACCCTGCTGGCCTCCGCTGAAAATTTTCAGATACACCTTTCGGACAACTTATCTGCTGCAACCCCTGAATATAGGCCTATTTTATTATTGTATTTTTTTTTGCTGCCATCATATTCCTGATTTAGGCACTGGTGGAAATAAAACATACAGTACATGTACTGTACAATAATTTATTCATCAGCGTAGATCTTGAAGCAAAGGTGAGGTCATTCGTACTTGTATGTCCTTGGACAATAATTTTCAGAGTGGCCACACTGATCTGAAAAAAGAAAGAAGCAAAAATGTTCTCAGAACCTAGACACTCCCCCTGTTAGAAAATGTTAATACAGATACACTGTACTGTTAATTTCTAAAATAAATGTCAACCATAGCTTACCACATCTGGCACATGCATGACTGGGGTAGAACATGCCATCAAAATCTGAAACTATCGGATCTCCATTCCAATCTGTACCAACTCCATAATCATCGTCACTGTTAAACCTATCATCATGAGCATATTCCTCCCGAAAGGCATCCTCGTCAAAACTATCATCTTCCTCATCATCACTTATAATGATTTCTTGTTTGAATGTTCCACTGGTTGCAGCTGTACCAGTCATGCCTGGGAGGAGGACACAAACATGATTTGTGGTTTGAAAAAATGTTTTTCCCAGGTTAAATATTACTACTGTTACTTTATGTATTCTGAGAATACAAGTGTATGTGTTAGATCATCAGCTACTTTACAGCCAATCACAAAATGGAATGCTCAGGATGTTTACAGCCTCACACAACACAATTGATAAAAGACCAACATAAGAGATACAACAATTTTCAACCTCAGTAGTTTATTTTTTCAATAATTTTATTATTTCAATTATAATCTGTATACTGCATCATGTATGAAATACATTACTGTACATACTATCTTATAACACAATGTAATGGAAAGGCCAATTTGACCGATTCCGCTCAGTCCACACTATCAAATTTGATGCGACAAATTTGTGTGATGTTCCCACATATGGGCATGATGATCATAAGCGTTGATTGGTGTGGGACAGGGTGGACACCTCCCCCACG